GAAGTCCCTTCTTCTGAGGACTTCCCCCGAACTAGGGTCCTTATAAAACCGCACCCGAACACAAATCTGCTGACGGGTCGCCGGAACTGCTCAAGCGTTTGCCTTCACCTGTCTCCCAATCTGTACCACGAGGATAATGGCGAGAATGCACAATCGCATCACTGCATGGACGAATTTCTGCATCGGAGACGTGCGAAGGCCTGTCACGCCAACTGTTCCCCTCGTTCTCTGCGTCCGCACTGCAACATACGCTTGGTCGATTTCGGAAGCTTAGGTTTCACCACCAGACCGACGCGTTCTGACGGTTCCCTTGGGATGTGCAACAGTAATTATATATAGAACGAAATCAAAGATCGCTGTTGTAAATTTCACCGAAGAAAACAGGAAGCGTGCCGCCACAAACCACTTCAAGGGGACGTACTTCAATGTGACAAGATGCGCAATCAGTACACGAGAAAGCAAAAGAGTGCCCGCTTGCTAATGCAAGCTTTCTGCCATTGAAGGAGGCCTTTTCAATTATGTGCTGATGCTTAGCTCTTCCAGTATCGCCGTGTCATAGGACCTAGTTTCTCCCAGCATTATCAAAAGAGCTTCAAGAAAATGGGACGTTCAAAGGCGCTCGAGAAAGCCCAGAACGATGCACTTCGAAAGGGCGTGGCAGCGGCCGCGACGATGATTTTTATCGGACTTCGCGATCAGTGATTCTCGCTAGACCGCGCATGACCGGATCTGAGTGGTTAAAGTACGCACTAATTCTTTCAAATTAGCAAGTACACTTCGTTTGTGTTCCAATTTATTTCTTTATGTATATACTGCATGTGTTAGGACTGTGACACAAGTATTTCGTATTCGCTCGCTAAATCTCCATGTAATTTGCTCACCCTGTTCTCGGGGCCTCAAAATCGCGAAAAAAAGTGCACAAATTATGTGAGTAAATACGGTAATTTAACTTTCCATGTAAAGGGTGGTTACAGAGTTGTGGTGCTGGAAGTGGAAGCAAACCTGCCAATAGCGATAGGCGAACACATCACTACCCATTGACAAAGACTAGATAGATGTTTGGATAATGAAAAGTTACCTCCACAAAGTGGCATGTGCTGAGTACAAGGGACTGCAGTGAAACCCATCTTTGTTGCTATTTAACACTAGCAGGGTGATTCCACGTAAAAGCATGGCTGGTTGACCTTCTAAGTTTCTTTAAAAATCCTATATATTGTTGCCTGATCAGTGGAAACAAAAGATCCATGACGCATACTTTGGGTGAGGCCCCGCCGATCCAACATCGATGTGCGGCCGACTCGCAGGCTTCCACTTTATGCTTCGGCCTGCGATGCCTGAAAGGCCACGAAGTGGTACACCTCAAATTTATTAGCAGGTCGAACGACCCATGCGGGGTTGCACGTGTGGTGATGTATGGGCCCGACCGACGCACTCATAGAGCTGACACAGACATTGAATTCAACGCAGGCAAACATTTATTAAAATACGGCAATGGCAAGGAGATTACAAAAATAATAGAGAGGAAAACACTAAAGTTCACGCGATTGAAAAGAACAGCTATAAAACAAACTATGCTCTAAAAGAACACTAAATGAGGTACAAACAAAATACAAATATGCGGGATGTTAATAAAATAACAACAAGATGGAAATCAGAAAGAGATACAAAGAAATGATTACGAAAGGATCACGCTCGCGCTTCGGAATTTTTACGTGCAGCGCAGCGCACACAACTACAATTATTGAAAAGCTGGCTATATAAAATAACAGTTAAATAAAGTCACAATAAAAAGTTCTATAGGGACCAGGCCAGCTCTTGGTACACGTTGGGGAGTTGACAGGTGCCGCTGAAGATCTCGCCAGCTTAGTAGACCACGAGGGTGCCCGGTATTGCAGCAGTCTCAATACGTTGTGCAGGTCACTCCATACTCGCCGCCTACGCGAGCCTTGCGATACCGACAACCACGCTTCTTGCTGGTTGCACGTCAACTGGTGATTCCGAAGCAGTCCAAACTCTTTCGGGACGTCCTGTCCCCTCTCGAGGTCATTTCTTTTTCCTCGAACACATGTTTCTCCTTTCGATACAGGTGTAGGAAAGATGCTGCGCCGCCGCCGCTGCGTCGCCAGTCGCCGGATGTCATCTTCCTAACACAAAAGCCCCTTCCCTTCCTTGGACGATGGGGCATGCGAGCGAGACGAAAATTGCAGTCGTTTGTGACAATTTGATTGGTTTTGCTGTAAGATTTTTTTCGAAGCCCAGTGAATAAATAATGACGAAGAGGTGCACTGCAATGGTTACCTGCTCTGCTGTTGTTTTTTTTTCGAATTTCGCGATGAATTACACAGAACATATTAAACCTACATACCTCACATTATTTTAGCTAAATGTAGACGTACTAACACTGATGTTCAATCATATTACGAATCTCTGCATAGTGTAGATTTTTCTATAAAAATTCTCAAATTGAACTTAAAACTTTTTTTGCCTAGTTTGCAGGCCTTTATTTAAAGAAGGGCCTATGACAAAGTGGTGAAAATTCCGCATTACTTTCTCAGCATGCTTATTCATAAAACAGCCAAAGCTTATATTAAGAACACTTTTCAATAAAAAGATATAAAGCGTGGAACTTGAGCAAGTTGGTAAGACATAACTGAGTACACGAACAGCGAAACCTGGAAGTAGTTACACTGTAACTACAAAAGCAACTTTCCATCCTTGTTTATTGCTTCCTTAGTTACGCTGTAACTACTTCTCGATCACTCTGTTCATATATTCAAAAACTTATAATCGCGCGAACTGTTAGAAAAGAGCATGCAAGAAAAACTTCTGACGAATAAAAAAAAAACAGTTTTGATATTTTTTTATACTTTCCTAACTCATTCTCCTTTAATAAAAACATGATGCATTATATGGTTTCATTTGTAGTTACAGCAATTACATTGCAGACGTAGCAGACATTATTCACACTTTTTGTGTGTCCAGAATAAACGTGAACAAATGCACGTCTACAGTACGTACTTGTACATTTAAACAAAAGCGTCCCAAGGTGACTGGTCTAACTTAGGCACGGTAAGATTCCAACGCATGTGCTTGGAGCATTAACAGAGGAAATCAGCCAAGGTCACAAATTCGGTGTCTGTAGCTCAAGTTCCCAAACTGAATTTGGCTCCCACACAAGAAACACTTCGAAGCATTGACATGGAAGTTGAAGCTTAACTGCGCTCATTCGGTGGGAAGCATTTGAAAATTCTTGTCAGGAAGCTGCGAGTGCTGGTTTCCCACAATCGGGTGACAGACACTTTAGCTAGAGAAACTGCGCTGCATGAATTAATTGATCTCAGTGAAAACCATAAAGGTGGTGCTCCAGGAGCCAAATCAAAAAGGAACAAATGCCAAACTATAGACAACTGGGTGCGCCCGCCCATCTGAGATGGTGGTAGCAGGCGACTTGTACTGGCCGTGAGCACAGTCCGCTGCTCCCTTCATTTGACTCAGATTGTGCCCACGCTTTGCTCTGCTGCTGGGCATTTCATGGCGGCAAAGTATAGCTCCTAGCAAAATAATTGCGCAGACTACCATTCGAAGCACAAGAAGCTCAATTCAAAGACATGAAACTTTCGCAGAGCTACCGACTTATACATCAGAACTTGATGACTCAGTGCCTCAATGAACCCCAGGCGTACAAAAATAATTTGTAATCATTCCCTACTGTGCTTATCCCTGCTAATTTACAGTGGCAAGACATCATTACTATATACAATATCATGCCAAATTAAAAAGCCGTACGCGATCACAAATCGCATACAATTTTCAGACCCAGATATTGAGCTCAGTCTTGCTTAAAGGCCTTATTTGACAGGTCCCCTTCACACCGAAACATGGACTGCACGCTTGCTTGCTCGGTAATCCTGCACTCATGGCAACTCTCTTAGTCAAATAATTTCAAAATTGGCGTCCTCAGTGCAGTGGACAACTATTTCAGTGCTACTTGTCTTTTAAGAAACTGAAGTATAGGCCTGCATTCCATACTTAGTGGGCAGGAAATCTGCTCTACCATTGCTTATCCTTGCACAAGGGCATTTTTCGACAGGCCGTAACTGAAAGTAAAACCATATAATGCAACATGTTTTTATTGATTATGCAAGCTGATGTGCAGGACAGTTAGTGCTTATAGTATAAAAAATATCAAAATGTTTTTTTTAATAATCATCGACAGGTGATTTCCTTGGATTCACTTTTCTTGAAGTTAGCGTGATCATATCTTTTGATCGAGAAGTGTTATTAATATAAGCTTTGGCAGTTTTATATAAATAAGCAAGCTGAGAAAGTAACGCGGAATCGTCACCGCTCTGTCATAGGGCCTTTTTGAAATAAAGGCCTGGAAACTAGACAAAAGAATGTTTTTATATCGAATTTGAGAGTTTTTATAGAAAAAATATACACTATGCAGAGATCTGAAATATATCTGAAAGTAACGACAAGTATATCCATATTTAGCCAAAATGTGAGGTAAGTAGCTTTAATATATTTTGTGTGATTCATCGCCAAATTGGAAAGAAAAAAACAGCAGAGCAAGTAAGCGTGGCACTCCACCTGTTCGTCAAGATTGATTTGCTCTGCTTCGGAACACTTTTTTACGGTAAAACAAATTATGGATCTCTTCTTTCCACTCATCAGGTAATATATATATATATATATATATATATATATATATATATATATATATATATATATATATATATATATAAAATTTTGAAAGAAATTTAAGAGGTTGACCAGCCATGCTTTATTGGATCTTGCGTGGAATCACCCAGCCATCATTACTGATGTGCACGGTTGCCCCATGGTTTTTTTTACCATACAGGTCTGTTGCAATCACTACACTGAAAGGCTTTTACAGATTCGAAAAAGCACGACTTGTGCACTTTTCTTCATGTGCTGTCATTTTTTGTGTAAATAAGAAGTGGTTTAAACATTTGCATTAGAGATGACAAGCCTACCTGTGATTTTGAGGGTTGACCTTTCTTTGATGGCATGTGTAAGGAAAAACAAAGCACAGTATCATCTACTGCAAAATAAAACACTCATATGATGCTCGAAGTTAAAGAAACTCTTTCTTTTTCTGCATTCAGGAGAACCATAGTCACATTGGCTTTACTGCCAGATATGCATTCTTTAGCAGGTATGAGTGGGCTACGTTGCAAATTTCTTGCACAACAAACACAATGAATAGTGATGAGGTGAATGCTAGACAGAAAACTGCTCATGCTATGGTGTCCTCTTTTTTTTCTCACGCGCCTTCTCATCTGTGCATTGACAGCTTTGTAAATTGGCAGTCACAAATTATTTTAATATACAACAAAACCTTGTTATTTGAAAGCCTCTGGGACCACAAAACATTTTCGACTGAAGAAAGTTTTAAAACACACAAAAAATGAGATGGTTCTACGGGTAATGTTTCTTTCCAATACCCAATCTTGTCCAATCTTTATTTCGCCATAGACACGCAGAAAGAATAGTTCATATGAGTCACAAAGCAATTCAGCATAGTGGTGCTGATAAATGATAGGTGAAGCACCTCAGCCTCATTCTTGCCAGTGCAAAGAAAAAAAAAAAAAAAAGAAGAAAGGTCTAAGGTATGGGTTAGCAAAATGCATGCAGACGTCAAACACGTGTTTCACTGCTGCACATCAGTCACATGCAAGAAGTGTGTTGCATGCTCCTCCCAGTGTCAGTGCGTCATAAACCGACTCCTTGCCCATTCACTCTGAGAATAGGAAAAAAAAAATATAGGGTGGTGCAACCAAACTCCTAATGCATAATGGCTGCAAAAATTGACTATTGGAGATTTCGAATGAGGCTTCCAAAGCAGGTGCAGCAGGCGACGTCAGTGAGGTAGTTAAATCCCAGAGAAGTTACTGGAAATTACCGGTAGTAACTGTGTAGAAGTTACTGAAGCAACTGCCAATTCGAGGTCAATAACCATCATCAATTCTGTCAGACTGGTCATTTTGTTTTCTCCAGTTACAGTAAAAAACTAGCGAAAGGTTGTGTAATGGCACGGGAATGCTACGACAACCATATGGCATGCTGCCTGCATGTGAATTCTGTGTTGCGGTGCAGTCAATCTTCTCTGCAGGCATGCATTGCAACTGGGTGTAAAGCATACCATTGACTGAATTTTCTTTATGTGCTGACAGAAATGAGGCTAGGCTACTCCACTAATCACTCATCAACACTGCTATGTGGCATTGCATTGTGGCTTAAAAGGGCTACTGCTTCTATAGATTGGCAGTGCAATTGGGTATTGCCACGAAGCATTGCAAATAGTTGAATTAACTTGGCTTGTGCAGTAGACTGCTTCAAGTTATTAGTCAAGTTTGCATGAGAAAATATGAGGGCAAGGTTCTGTTTGGTGTCGCAGAACTAAGTTGCCAGACTTCAGGGCCAGTGTTGCCAGACCGCTGCCAAATATGGCGGCGACATCATTGCTACTGAACAGCGCAAGGATCAATGGATTGCCTCACTGATAGACTTGCTGACTGATCCATCCACTCCATCCACTCGCGCGTTGCGTCGTCAAGCCCACCATTTTGCCCTTCACGACGACCTCCTACACAGGCGCAATTACAACGGTGACGGCCGCCAGTGGCTACTAGTCATACCTCACAGTCTGCGCTCTGACATATGCGAATTCTTTCATTCTGATCCGCAATGTGCGCACTCCGGGGTATCGAAGACTTACCACCGTATTCGCCAACGGTACTTTTGGCGCGGCATGTACCGCTACGTGCAGAAATTCGTTCGCTCCTGCATAGATTGTCAGCACCGCAAAGCTTCAACGCACCTGTCGCCGGTAGGTCTGCAACCTCTACCTTGCCCTGCCAGGCCCTTTGGGCGCGTTGGCATCGATTTGTATGGGCCACTTCCACTAACGTCTGCTGGTAACCACTGGGTCATTGTCGCTGTGGACCACCTCACGCGATACCCCGAAACAGCCGCTCTTCCCGCGGCTACAGCGAGCGATGTGGCCTCCTTTCTGCTCCAACGATTCATTCTGCGACACGGTCCACCCCAGGAACTGCTCAGTGACCGAGGCCGTGTCTTCCTGTCTGAAGTCGTTGAAGCCATTCTCAAAGAATGCAACGTTGTTCACCGCAAAACTGCTACTTACCACCCGCAGACAAATGGCCTCACCGAACGCTTCAACCGTACGCTTGGCGACATGCTTTCCAAGTACGTCGCCGCCGATCACACAAATTGGGATTCCATTCTACCCTTCGTCACCTACGCATATAATACCGCCCCTCAGAGCACTACTGGCTTTTCACCTTTCTTTTTATTATATGGAAGGCACCCGTCATACACCATGAACACGATACTTCCGTACAGGCCAGATCCGTCTGAGTGGGCACCTATTTCTGCTACAGCCAAGCTTGCCGAAGAGTGTCGAGAGCTTGCAAAGACCTTTACTGCGCATGATCAACAGCGGCAAAAAAGCATTCGCGCTGACGCCAGCACTACTGCGCCCACGTTCCTCCCTGGAGCGCTCGTCTGGCTTTTGATCCCTACCACTGCAACTGGCCTATCTTCAAAACTATTGCCCAAATACGAAGGCCCCTACCGTGTCGTCAAATGCACTTCCCCAGTCAACTACTTGATTGAACCCATCGAACCATCTTCGGACATGCGCCGTCGAGGACGCGACATTGTTAACGTGGAGCGCCTCAAGGCCTACCATGACCCGCTCATTGTAACCAGCTGTTAGGTTGCCAGGCGGCTCCCTTTTCGTACCTGGGGTAGTTGTGGTAAAGCCTTTGAACAGTGGGTTGTCCTCTCCAGCGCCTTCTAGTGGGTCTCTCTTTTCATAAGAAGAAGAACAGCTCGTGCAGAGAGTCGGTCCCGGCATTGACTGTCGCTGTCGTGAATCATCGCGAAGTGTCCGCCAATAAACCTCTTAACAGATCCTTCAATAGTTAAGGTAAAGACCTGGAACTATCATTCCCTGGCAATGGTGAAACACGGACTCTAGATTGGTCACTTCAAAAATGTGAGTGAAAGGATGGTCAAACAATGCCCCTCTTCCCCCCACTACCACTCTTTTTGATATAAACTGTTTACAACTGGCATAACCAGGAGAGAATTCAGGAAGGGTTCCACTGCCCCCTCCGCCCATCCTTAGAAAAATTTGAATTTTGCATGTGTATACACAGGGTGTTTTTTTAAGTAATAAAGATTTTTTCGTAAAAGAAACTGTAAGAGATAAGCACTTCTAGTCTTTGCAGACAATTTGTAGGCTAAGTCTCAGATTTTACCACTAATTAGATCACTCAGGAATGATTAATTAACAAAAATAGTTTAATTACCTTTTTATTATCAATTTCAAGGTGGTTGTTTTTAAAAAGTGAGAATGTCACACGTGGTTTCAGAGATCTATTGCCAAATTTCCAGACCGCGGTGCCGGAGAAACAAACTAACGCACCGGGTGTGACAAAATTAACCATGTACATCGAAACTAACGCACTCCGGTGCATTAGTTTCGGTTTATTCAGCATGCAGATCTGAAAACTCCGTGATAGATCTCGGAAACCACGTGCGTTATTCTCAATTTTTAAAAAGTAAGCTCACCATAATTTGTGATGTACAACAACTTCGCCATATAAACAACCATCCTAAAATTAATGATAAAAATAGTTATTTCAATACTTTTTGTCAATTAATCATTCCTGAGTGATTTAATTAGCGGCAAAATCTTTCCGCCTCAGCCTAGAAATTGCCTGCGAAGACGAGAAGTGCTTACCTGTTATAGTTTTTTAAGGAAAAATCTGTATTGCTTAGAAAAAAGAACCTATATACATGCGCATACAAACACTTGCAAAAAAATACAAAAAGAGTGTTCGAACCTCACCCAGAAAAAAAAAACTAATAGCTACACTCATGCTGTTCACAGATGTAGGTTGGGATGTGACAGCAGAGTAAACCCACTCTTTTAACTGAACAAAAACAAGGCAGCAGCGAAAAGTTTAGTGCAGTTGCGAAAACATAAAAAAAAACAATTAGATAACTATAACTACGTCTTACAACAAAATACTGGAGCCTTTTTTTTTTGGCTGTTTTTTTTTCTCAACCACTGCAAGTAGCACAGTCAGAGGATGAATGCTGACCATCTGAAGGTAGAATATATCAGTGATGTCATCAACCAAAGCTACTTTGGCGCTGTTGAGAATTCCGGAAGCCTGGTCCTGCTTTCCTTCCATAGAGACGCCGTCGAAGCAGCTCATCTTAGCCGCCCAATTTCTAGGTTCGAGAGGAGGGCCGCCAACACAAAGCCGATGGGGCGAAAGGGATTTGGCCCGCACCATTCCCACAGTAGCCTTCGTGAAACCGGCTCCGATCCTTCTTTTTTCCTATTCTACCTATCTCTCTCCTATCCAACTTTCTAGTCATCTTCAATAAACCAGTCTTGAAACTGTCACCGAGTCGAGTCGCTCCTCTTCAAGGCTCTTGTGCACATGGCCCAGCCGCCCTGTTATACTTACCGTGCAGCGAAGAATTCACTTTCCACTTAGAGTCAGCCAACGAAAATTAAAGTGCTAGTAATCATCTACATTTTCTGGTGCCGAAAGCCGGCATTACTTCGTCAGTTGGCATCGAAAGAGCCATGAAGCGTGTGTGAAAAAAGCAAGCCACCCTTCGACAGGCCATCAACGCCATCATTGCACAGAGCAGCACCATGCTGCAAGTGCCAGCCACAGCAATCGGTGAGCTTGAAGAACATTTTGAATATCTCGCGGAGCAAGCAAAGAAACTTATGATAGACAACGACGCCATCGAGAAAAAGAGTGAGCTACAGGAACTTGATGCCACGCTCACCGAATGCAATGACTAAAACAAAAAGATCACCACCATGATGACCAAAATCAAGCGAGCTCTAAAGAACGAAGCCCTAAGTAAAACCAGGTCAAGTACCTCATCAGAAACCAACAATTCGGAACAAGCAGCACATTCTGGTTCTATTCAGAGCACAGTGGGGCCTTCGTCTCTCCATTTA